CTCCCCGCCTGCCCGCTACTCCATTCCACATTGGGAGTTTTGTTGAGTTGTTGCAAAAGGGGGGGGGGGCAGGAAGTACAAACCTGGGCTGTGACAGCTGATCAAAACTCCATGTGGCCACTGGGCCTAAATAATTGCCAGACCCTGTTCTAGGCCCTCTGAGCATGCATACTATATCAAGTACCTCGTTTGCTGAATATAGGTGCCACTCTGCCTTGTATCAAGGTCATGATAGAGCGTAGGTAGAACAAGGCATCTGGCTATTCTATGTATGTGTGGAAACCTAAGTTTAGGCATCTAGTGAGTTTTCAGCAGCAAGTTTGGCTGCCTAGTGGATTTAGTTACATGCTAAGATTTATTTTTATTTTTTTTGTGGGGCGGGGGGTGGGGGTTGGCTGCTTGAACAAGAATATTCCGCATCTCTTTTTGTGATTAAAGCAACTATCTAGGTATTTAGGGTGCCTGTAGATGTACCTGGAGGCTGCTTTGATGCACTGCAATTACAGCATTTTGGATCAGACTTGATTAATTGAGTCTTCTGAGACGTGCTAATTAGCATGCTCCAGCCTGTTGCTGCATCTCGTGTCCCATCACTTCAAATAGCGGCGGGGGTACTTTAATTAAAGCTTATTCAGTGATCTTTATTTAAAGTGCCCCCACTGCCATTTTGACATGCAGGGATGCTGGTACATGAGGTGCTGTGGGGGCTTTAATTAGAGCATCTCTTGGAGCCCTTGCCTCCACCCCTGGAGCACATGTAAAAATGCCCTTAGTTTACTGATCTGTATGGGGCACCCGGTCTTTTGTTCAAGTTAATTTTAGACAAAGAGGAGCCAACTTACCAAAATTTTAGACAACAAAATTAGCAAAATAGTGAACATTTTGCACAAGTTCTAAGACTTTTAGAAGGTTATACCCAGAGATCCATGACTGGTAATCTTGTAAGTTGTCTCACTGAAGCTGCTACTTAAAAGTTAAACATGTATTTAAGGGCTTGGGTGGATTGGGTCCTGTGAACTTGGATCCAATGGGAATGTCTCCACTTACCTTCATGCCGCTCCCAAGAGTGCCATTGAGCAGCATGCCTCACTCATTCACTGTCAATGTGTATGGTGCCAAAATGAGGCAACGCAGGGGGGTAAGCCTGGTCTTAGGCTCTTTGCCTCAGATATGTTTATTCATGCACCCTTAGGGCTGATCTAAGGTGGCACCATTGCCTCCTTTTTGGAAGTCAGCGTGCATTAAAGTGGGACATTTTTTGTGGCAGCCATTCTGGACATGGCACGAAGGTAATGTGGAAATGCCCAATTAGTTTAGGTGTCATTTTATTTTTTTACGTGTCCTAAGCATATTGTTTTGTTAGTTCCCTGAGGATAAAAACTGTTTTTGGTGGTGAAAAATATAAATATAGGACATGATAGTAAGATGGAAGGATCCTTTGTTGACCTGTTTGTGCTTTTTGCTCTTTGTGACAGGCACTATGATGCTTGAACTTCAGGAGAAGGTAACTGAGTTGGAAAATTGGAAGGAGGGGAAAGGCCTTATCATCCATGGTGCAGAAAATACTTTTTGTTCTGGGTCTGATTTGAATATTGTCAAGGCAGTAAGCCTGCAGGTGAGCAATGATAAAGCTTGCATTCCAGGAGGAAAAGGTGCTTCACAATGTTTTTGTTGTAATTATTTATATTTTTTGTATTCTCTTTTTTGTGTTTTATAATGCAGAATATGCTGCTTGCATTTCAGAAATAATTACTCCAGTGGTGACATAATTTATTTATAATTCATAATGTTAACTACATATTCTTTATACTTGTTCTTTTCCTTTCAAAAATACGATTTCAGGCCCTTTGAGAAGGGCCTGAAATCACGTTACCTCATAATGGTTACTTCACCGTTATGAAGTAACGGTTTTAAAAAGACCTGAATGAATTTGTTTTTTTCTTTAACAGCCATTAAGGATAATTGTTCTTCACATAATCCATTTATAATCAAAGTACCACAGATAGAAGGAGCGGAGGGAAGAGTGCTGTTACCAAAAATATTATTTATTTTTAATTGCTGACATTGCATTAAGCACTTCATAAATTCGTAGTTTCATAGTTTCATAGTTTCTAGGGTCGGAAGGGACCTGAGCAGATCATCTAGTCCAACCCCCTGCCATGGCAGGAAGAGCACTGGGGTCAAATGACCCCAATAAGGTGGTCATCCAGCCTCCTCTTAAAAACCCCCAGGGTGGGAGCCTGCACCACCTCACATGAAAGCTGGTTCCAGACCCTAGCCACCCTGACCGTGAAGTAGCGCCTCCTGATGTCCAACTTAAACCTTCCCTCCGCCAGCTTGTGACCATTGTTCCTGGTCACTCCTTGCGGCGCTCGGGGGAACAGGGACTCCCCCAGCGCCTGCTGATCCCCCCTAACCAGTTTATAACAGGCCACAAGATCCCCCCTCAGCCTTCTCTTTTGAAGGCTGAACAGGTTCAGGTCCCACAACCTTTCCTCATAGGACCTACCCTGCTGTCCCTTGATCATACGAGTGGCCCTCCTCTGGACCCTCTCCATGCTGTCCACATCCCTCTTAAAGTGCGGCGCCCAGAACTGGACGCAGTACTCCAGCTGCGGCCTGACCAGTGCCGCATAGAGGGGGAGGATCACCTCCTTGGACCTGCTCGAGATGCATCTGTGGATGCACGACAAGGTGCAGTTGGCCTTCCTAGCCGCCTCCCCACATTGCCGACTCATGTTCATCTTGGAGTCAATAATGACTCCCAGATCCTTTTCCACCTCCGTGCTGACAAGAGGGGAGTTCCCCAGCCTGTATGTATGGTGCCGATTGTTCCTCCCCAGGTGCATCACCTTACACTTGTCTGTGTTAAACCCCATCCTGTTCTCCTCCGCCCATCCTTGTAACCTGTCTAGGTCCAACTGTAGCCTGTTGCTCCCCTCTATTGTGCCCACATCCCCCCACATCTTAGTGTCATCAGCAAACTTGAACAGGGTGCTTTGCACCCCCTCATCCAAATCACTGATGAAGATGTTGAACAGGGCGGGCCCAAGGACCGAGCCCTGTGGGACCCCACTTCCCACGTCCTTCCAGGTCGAGAAGGACCCATCCACTACCACCCTCTGGGTGCGACTCTCTAACCAGTTGGCGACCCATTGGACTGTATGGGTGTCTACGCCACAGTCCCCCAGCTTCCTAATGAGAATGGGGTGAGAGACAGTATCAAAAGCCTTCCTGAAGTCTAGGAAAACTATATCCACTGCCACCCCTGCATCCAATGATTTAGTGACCTGGTCGTAAAAGGCCACCAGGTTGGTCTGACAGGACCTGCCACTGATGAACCCGTGCTGGTTGCCCCTGAGCATGCAGTTCCCTGCTGGCCCCTCCTGGATGTGTGCCAGAATAATTTTCTCGAACAGCTTGCCCAGGATCGAGGTAAGGCTGACTGGCCTGTAGTTCCCCGGGTCCTCTTTCCTCCCCTTTTTGAAGATGGGAACCACGTTGGCCCTCTTCCAGTCCTCCGGCACCTCTCCAGAGCACCACGAGTGTTCATAAAGCCGTGCCAGGGGACTTGCAATGACCCCAGCCAGTTCCTTCAGGACTCTAGGGTGAAGATCATCTGGGCCGGCTGACTTAAAAACGTCCAGCCCCTCCAGAAGCTCCCTAACTAAATCCTCACTCACTCTAGGCCCAGGTGAGCCTCCCCCGGGGCCCAAAGGGGGCCCAGCAGGGAGGTGGCAGTTCTGGTCCTTACTGAGGAAGACAGAGGCAAAGAAGTTATTAAATATGTTGGCTTTGTCGTCTGGCGTGACAACCAGATTCCCCGTCTTGTCCTGCAAGGGCCCCACATTTCCTGGGGCCTTCTTTCTACTCCCTATGTATTTAAAAAAGGACTTCTTGTTGTCCTTAATCTGGGAAGCCAGCCCCTGTTCCATCTCTGCCTTGGCCTTCCTAACCATCCCCCTACATCCCCGAGCACCTGCTGAATAGTCCTCCTTAGTGATGACCCCTCCTTTCCATTGGGAGTAAGCCTCCTTTTTGGCAAGGAGACATTCCCGGATGTTTTTAGTGAGCCATGGAGGCTCACTAAAATTGGAGAAGTAGGCACAGTCCCTGTCCCACAGAAAAGCCTAGAGTCTGATTTTTGCAGTCAAATCCACATAGACAGACTTGTGCATATGCACATACGCGCATTAACTTCTTTAGGGCTTTAGATGCAGGGGCAGGGCCTAATGGGATAAAACAGAATGGTACACAGAATGGAGGACCCAGAGGATGACTGTAGCATACCAGATGTTTTATTTTAATTTTACATTTTTAAAGACATATGTGACATCCCTATTTCTGAGAGTAGAACTGGGTTTCATAGTTTCATAGTTGTAGGGTCGGAAGGGACCTGAGCAGATCATCAAGTTCGACCCCCTGCCATGGCAGGAAAGAGTACTGGGGTCAAACGACCCCAGCAAGGTGTT